TAATGAAAAAAAATACACTAAAAATGCCTTAATATAACCATAAAATTGATGGATAATATTCAGTTCAGTAAGAGAACATTGAAATTTAACACTTTAATCTGTCACTAAAAGAACATTCTACTTAAAGGTTATTTATGCACAGAGAAATCACACCATCCATTAACAGCATATTCATTTATTCACCGATTTCAAGTAATTCAAGAGAAAACATTAATTTTTGGATAGTCTTTTCTACATCTTATTGTAGCTTTTTATCACAAAAATCAGTCAAACATCCAACCACCAAAGAAACAGGAATAAATAATTAGTTTCCAGCAAGAATTGAACTTGCATTCTATATCACAGGAATTCAACCTTCATCTGACAACATTTTCACCAATTTAGCATAGATTTCCATGTCTAAATTGGTTATCAAAATTATAGGCTTTGTGACAAAGAAAAAATTAAAATTATAATAATAATTATAATAATTATTATTATAATAAATGGGGTGATCTTTGTAATAAAATGGTTACAATAAGATGCAGAGAAGTCAAAAATAATATAACAAAGAAATACATGTGAACTTTACTATCAAGTCATCAACCAATCAGGCTTATGGCTACATCACGTTAAAACACGGGTAGCCATACAATCACCAAAGTAAAGCAATTTCGAGCTTGGTGAGTACCTAAATGGGAGACAACTTGAGAATAAGAGGTGCTGAAAGCTTGGATGTACAGGTGGTGTAATGGATAATGGCTCAAAATTATTAATTGAAGAGTCAAGTTCCAATTCCAGCTGAGTTTGTTATATTCACTTACGCACAAATACCCTTGGGAAGGGTATGAATCTATTTCTTCTCTCCCCCAACTATGGGTTAATTAGTGTATCAAAACCATCTAAAAAAATAAAATCCTGTGAAACAAAATCTACCATCAGCCAACCACTTTTGCAGGTTTCTGTCTTATATGGTTAATGTTTTCTTCAAACTTCAATTCTTCCTTCACTTGTAATATCAGCATATAAGATGTAATATGTGTGCTTTCTACTGTCATTCTGTGCATTTAAAAATGATTTACAATATTTACGTTCAAACTATTTTCCTCATTTTTATTGTTATCACAATATTTCGGCCATTGTGTACTCTGGTCTTCATCAGAGTATATACTGATCCAGGTAACCTACAGTATGAAAAATAAGAGCTAAGTGAAATATTCCTAAACATGAGCAGTGAAACGAGAACAGTCTACTCCCATAGATTAAATAAAGGTTTCAGTTTGAAATTCCCTGTAGCTTACCAGAAAAAAAAAAGTGAAGATTATAAATATCATGTTTCACTGGCATTTGTTACACTTGGCTTCTTCAGGTCAGATTAACCTGAAGAAGCTGGGCCTATGAGGCATCTGCAAAATGTGTCACTTATAAATTTTTCCTATATATATATAGGAAAAATTTATAAGTCTCAGAATTTTAATTAAAAAAAAAAAATGAAAAAAAACTAGCAAAAATTTTTAAATTTTATGACAAATTTACATCTCAATCTTGAAAAAAAAAAGTTTTAAAGTTAAATTTTTTAAAGACAATGGTGTATTTTTTATACTAAATTAGAGTAAATATTAAGTAATTTTATTGTATTATATTAGAGTTAATGGTATATGATAAAGCAAATAGAAGCCAAAGAAAGCCTTAAAAAAAATAAATAAAAAATTACTTCATGGAATGAAGAGAATTTGAATGCATTTGTTACAATGAACTAAAACATGTCAAAAATACAGATTTTGTTTTGGCAGTCAGTTGTAAAATCTGAAAAGTTGGATTCTTTAATATTTTATCACAGATAAAATTCTGCATATATACTCCAAAATCAGTGCAAAGTTTTTTTTTTATGATTTGAAGAGAATGATAAAATGAAACCCTCACCAAAATTTATATCACTTGAGAAATAAGACAAAATTTTTTAAAACATTTTTCAATTATATAAAAGAAAAAAATATTTGTACAATAAAACTCAATATAAAGAAATTCATTAAGTATACAAAAAATCTGAAAAATCTTTTGTAATAACAGTTAATAATAGCACCCAGAAATGGAAGAAACCACATTTGTTTTTACGAAACACAGCATCATACTAAAGACAATTTTTCTTGAAAATCAAACTTTTGGGCCCTTAAACATTTGCAAAACAGAAAGCAAACGTGAGTTCTTCGAGCATGCTAAGCTGAAATACATCTTTGATCATCAAAAGTGCATTTTATCGTTATCTTTCATTATTAAATACTGTGTAAAAATAAAGTGTACAAGAATATTAAAATATCAGAAAAAAATGGAAATTAAATTTCATAATTTCAAATTATCTAAAATCTTTCTCCATTTTTTTTTTTACCTGCCCCATATGGTATAGACCAACAGGAGTTACCTTTCTTGATGCCGATTGCCTCCCTTGAAAGTAACTCTCACTTAGATACTATAAATAAGCGGTCTAGCTGTGCCTCCCTATTCAAGCTCAAAGGTTATCACACCTCCAAGTTATTGCAATTTATTGAGCTTGACTAGGGAGGCACAGCTAGATCCTTTCAAAGGAGGCAATATGCAAATGTAACAGCTATTATGGAACAAATTGTATAGTTTTATTATTTTATACGAATAAATATACAAATTGAATGTAGACAATTTGGCTGTGTCAATTGCTGTTCGTAATTTGTGATATCATGATCAGTTGATATGCTAAAAAGCAATAGAACATGACCTGGATATGGCCAGCAATAAAGTCATAGAAAAAAAAAAGTCACAATTTTGGCTAGGGAATAAGTCAGTTTATATCTTAAATACACACAGACACACACATATATATATATATATATATATATATATATATATATATATATATATATGCACACGTATATTGAATGTTTTTGATACTAATGATTAAGATGAATATTCTTTTTGATGTCACAAAGAAATTGCACCAGTCTTGTGGCCCTCTCGTCAAGCAATGCACAAGTTGTAAAGATGTTTTTCTAGCTGCACACGAACTCTTGAGGTGGGGTGAGGATGCCAAAGGCATCCTGCTGAACAATGGTGCTTGGTGTCACTTCACGTTGAAAATATTCAATGACACACCAAACTGAAGGAAGGTAGTGACCAACGCTGTTGAAAATTTATTATTCCACCCTTCACAGATGTTGGTACGGACATTTGTTGTTCATGGTGACATCATGCACATTCCATAGATCTGATGTTTGTTCTCATTTACAATTTCTAAGCAAAACTCAATTTACCATCTATTCTGCCTATTTCTTTACTATTCAAAAATCAATGTTTTTGTTTTTATCAAATAATTACTATTTATGTTAATGTTTTGTAAATATCCAAAACTGCAGTCAAAAAAAAAAAAATTAAAAAATGTCAATTTTTGCAGAATAATCTTCAAAATCAATTAATAGAAGAGCTTTTCATAAAAAATGAAGATAAAAGATAAGGGCACATTTTTTTTTTTTTAATTAATCCAGTGTCATGTTCAGAATACAAGTAATCTAAAAAACATAGTAATTTTCTCAGAAATCACTAGAAACATTTCAAATGCACATACACACAATTTTTATATCAATATATATATATATATATATATATATATATATATATATATATATATATATATATATATATATATATTAGGGCAATGAAAATTTTGAAAAAAGAATATTTATGGAATATTATTAAGCCATTAGACAAACTAAAAGCATGATCAAATTTGTTAAGCAGATCTTTCAGATATACCATCTCCTTCCTCAATTGTACATGCTTCTATTTTGTCTAATGGCCTAATAAATTATGATAAATATTACTATTATTGTCTTTTCAATATTTTTTTTCATCAGTCTACTATAACAATATTCTGTAAGAAGCATACATGTACTATTTTCCAATATATATATATATATATATGTAAAAGGATAATATGAATAAAAATAAAAGGAAAACTTATTTTAGCCAATATATTTCATCCTCTGATGGACTTTACCAAGACAAATGTAAGGATTTTATTTACAAATACTTAAATACTTACTGCAAAAACAAAAGATCTTTACATTTGCCTTGATAAAGTACAGAGGATGAAAGACATCAGGTTAGATAAGTTTTCTTTGTCATATATATATTAGTAGTATTTTAATAAAAGTACTCAAAGTTTGTCTTTTTTAAATCTTAGTAACAAAAACTGAATATTTTAAAAAGGGAATAAGTCATAGCTGCAACCACATTACTTTATATTTGCATATAACCTATATACAAATGTGAATTAATGTGGGATAAGCAATATGGTAATCAGTTATTTTTGTGTTCCTTTTCAAATACATTTAGCTTCAAAAATGTTTATCAATACAGGAAACAATATTTGAGAAACAATTTATATTAACAAAGAAAAACTATTTAATGCAATAAGTAATGAAGAGCATTTTTCTTTTAGAAAATTTGAATTTTTTTTTTTTTTTTTTTTTCAGGAAAAAGGGGGTGGGGTCATAAGGCATGTTTTGATTTTTAATATCTTCAAAACAATACGCCAGAAAGCATTAGTTTTGCTTTCATGGCATTTGAATAAACTCACTTCCAGAAAAAGCAGAAAAGAAAAATATTCGTTTTTTTTTTTTTTGTTTTTTTGTTTTGTTTTTTTTTTGTTTTTTATCTTCAAGACAAACTGTTTTAAGAGAAATTTTCTAAGAAGATTTTAAATGATATAGATGAACATCAACCTAAATGTTAGCGAATACAAAAAATAAATCAAAAATATATGTGCAATAAAGATCTCTGTTCAAATACCTTTCTAAGCACTTAAAATTGAAAATTATTTAATATCTTTCATTAAAATTAAATTCTCAGCTAAAGATAAAGACTGATAGCAATTACAAAAGATGTGTCTCAAGTCTGAAATTTAGAAGAAAAAAATAAAAATTCTGAATAAATACTTGGTTACTTAGCAACCAAGATGCTCCGAGGTAGATGCTATAAAGTTATTTTGTTTTTCAAGGCGCTTTGGTGAAAGGGGAGAAAACTTCGTTGAGTTGTTGCGTAACTCTAATAAATGTTGTACGCCGGCTGAGTTCCTTCAGTTTTGACGCCCCAACATAAGTGCAAGTCGAGCGTATACCTCCTAGAATATCGAGAATTGTTCCCTGAACATCTCCACGATATTCTATCTCCACAGACTTTCCCTCTGAAGCTCTGTAAATAAAAATTATAATAGTCTCAAACTATTTCAACATATAAGATTTCAGACCAAATTTAAGTTGATGGAAATTATTTAAATATTTTTTCTGTTTATATTCAGTAATATCTATAAAATCATCCGCATTCTCAAAACATAAAAACATCTTTCAAAAATAAAACTAGCTTACGGTTTAATTAATCTGAATTGAAACATTAATTTATTTAGTTTAAAATATCACAGGTCAAACCATTTCTTTCCACAATACATACCAATCAATATGTATAGATATGTTCTATGAATAATATGAATCAATTATGTAAGCAATTGTGTTTAATAAAAAAAAAAAAAAATCATTTAATAATAATGTTATTTGCTGTTTGGCGTACAAGCAACAAGTTTGTTGCATGTACACCAAAAATTTCATATTTTCTTTCATGTAATATTGCACAAGGATATTAATTTAACATGTTGTGCACAGATGATATTATCCCAGATAAAAATAAAACCAATAACAATATCTCCTATCATTCGTATACCAACAATATAAAGCATAAAATTAAATGAGTGAGAGGTGTGGTAACAGATGTTAAAAATAAATATTTTTACCAGGATTATCTGAAAAAAAAAAAATAAAAATAAAAAGTAATGTTTCAAAAATATTTTTATTTATGATTAAGTTCTCAGTCATTAAAAACCAACAATTATCTTATTTTTGCAAGATTTTCCAAATTTTTCGCAGCAAAAATACTCAAATTTCTCATACAAATTTATCACTCTTCATTGACACCAGAAAAAAGATTTTTAAACAAAATTTTCAAGAATATAAAAGGATTGAAACAATTTTTTTTTTTTTTTTTTTTACTACACAAATGAAATTCTTCGATGTTTCATCTTAATAATTACAAATGTTTTAACGGTAACATTCTGTTTTCTTCATCGCGTATGCTTATTTTCAGCATTTTTTTTTTTTTAAGTACCTACATGAATTATTTCCCTTTAGTCGTTCAATACATGTTTGTATGTTTTCGTTTTGTGGAAAAGTTTGAAACTGGTTTATTAATATGCGTAATCATTTTTTTTTTTTTTTGTTAAATGTTACAATTTCTTTTTTTTTTGTGCTTTTATTAAACAGTTTTTTTCTTCTTTAAAATATTTTTAGATCCATTCTTTAAAAGGATTTTTTTTATAAAAACATCTAAGGAAAAAAAAGACAAAACAAAAACATCTTTCAAAAATAAGATACTTTTGAAACTTGGAGAAAAAAACTAGCTTAAGGTTTAATTAATCTGAAATGAAACATTAATTTATTTAGTTTAAAATAACACATGTCAAACCATTTCTTTCCACAATACATACCAATCAATATGTATAGTCTATACATAAAAACATCTAAGAAAAAAAAAAAAAAGACAAACAATTGTTTTTATATATATTATTTAGATATTATATATGCGCGATACTTATTAGAAAGCACTCAATATCAGTGATAGAGCTAACATATTTAGTTTTTGCCATATTAGTTCACAATTACCATTAATGTATTAGCCCACAATTATAATTACTCCTCTCTTCCCCAGCAAAATTAATACCACCGCATAAATACTAATAAGTATTACAAATTGTAATATGCATACGTAAATCTACCATTTGCATATGCACAATCGCCAAAAACAAGCAAATAACCGGCTTTAAAATAATAACAAAACACCCTTAAAAAATTAAAAATAGTAATTTTTACCTACACAACGTGCATGTGAGAAAAAATTGAAAAACGGTCTGTGTGTTGACAGCGCAACAATCAAAAAAAAAAAAAAAAAGATATTCACTACACAATCCAACATTGAATACAGCAACCAAATGCTTACATATGTATGCAACGTGTGTGTGTGTGTGTGTGTGTGTGTGTGTGTGTGTGTGATTTTCAGACAGGGCATATCTATAAAGGAACAAAATGAATAAAAAGACAAAAAGAAAAACTATTCTTAGCCAACACATTTCATCCTGAGGGACTTCTATCAAGGCAAATGTGAGGATTTATTTTGTTGCACCTGTTTATATGCAAGAGCAAAGATGTGTGTGTGTGTGTGTGTGTGTGTGTGTGTGTGTGTGTGTGTGTGTTCTTCATTTAAGAGAATTTTTTTGTCAAATTTTTTAAAATGTTTTTGTACACGGACATCAATGATGCAAGCACAGATTCAGACTTGACATTTGTAAACAAATTTATGTAGTGACCAAAAGATGCAACACATACCATATATTACTTTTCATCCACTGATTATGATAGAAATTAATTGGACATGTGCTGCAACTAGATGTGCACATTCAGTAAAGATATGCTGTTTTATCTCAAGAAGAGAAATGCAACACTTTTGTGGAAGACCTATTAACCTGATTAACGATGACATCAAAAGAATGAGCAGTAAAATCCTATCATTTCCTGTTAAGATTTGGAGGAGATTAGGAGACTCAGCATTTTCACCAAATTAACATAGGATGTTTGGAAAGGACTGATAAGAGATATTTGTAAAGTTTCTAAGGATGATAAATTATACTGAATTGCAATGTGCCTTCAAGGTGAAAAGACCTGATCATTCCTACAAAAACATCAATCCAAGAAATAATCTTTTGCACCACTATTTATTCCTGTCTTATAAGTAAGTCAAATCAGTTTTAATAAGGTCAAATTGGCAGCCGATCTCAAAAATAACTTACAATTTGTTGTTAACTGGTACAGGGAATGGTTTGTCAATTTTAAATCACCAAAATCATCTGCGAGACTCTTTTGCCTTCCATCAGTATGGCTGATGCTAACCTCCAGAGGAGTGACTTGTTGCACCTTCTCAAACTAACATTTTCTACTAACATGAAGTGGAAAGATTACATCAAATCAATGGCTAGGTCTATTGCTAAGAATGTTGGTTCACTGTCTATAGAGGTAAGTCTACCATTTGTCCATGTTTTTAAATGTTGCTGCTACATATGGTCTGGTGATCCTGCTATTTATTTAGAGATTCTTGATAAAATCCAAAGAAGAATTCACAATATCATTGGTTCTGACCTGTCATCTTTACTTCAATCAATTTCCCACTACTGTAATATAAGTTATGAACTTTCCTCTATGGCACTACAAAGTACCTGGTCCCAAGGAACAGCTGCCCACAGCTGTACCACCTCATTACACTCGAGAAGTGGGGGGAGCAGCAGTTATACTGATGCCATTGCAAGTGACAATTGCATGGATGGGGCAATTTTTGGCCCCAGTCCATGTGTACAGTGCTGTTTGATAAAAGTGACTCACCTAATTTTTTTTTACTTAAAGATTTTTTTGCCTTTTGGAGTCAAACTAATTTTTAATTTTACTAATATAAAGATCCCTTCCAAACCACCTAGTAAAAAAGTTTACTCACCCTAAGGTAATCTATTGATAATTATAATTTTGGATATAAATGAGATTTAGGGAAAAACGGTGCAAAAAAATTGACTCACTTATTTCCTGCAACTAGCAATCAATAGAAACATAACCAAACAGCTTTAAATAAAGAATAATAGATGTATAATTTATTTATAATAGGTAATATAGTTCGAAATATCTAATAATCTATGGGTCCTCCTTTATTTTGAATAACCTTTTCAACCCTTTTTGTCATTGATTCGATTAGGTTCTGGCAAATCTCATCTCCAAGCATTGAATTCCATTCGGATATGAAATTCACAATCAAATCCTCTTTCTTGCTCAACTGCTTTCTCGAGAGCCATGTCATAACACTCACCTGTTTCTCATCAAAGTATTCCTTCATCAATTTTGATTTGTGACAGGGAGCATTATCCTGCATAAAAATGAACTTGGTGGGGTCGATTTGCACCCTTTCAGCAGAAGGGAGCAAACAAGACTAAAATTCTCTTGTACTGCTCGCACCTGAGGATCTTTTCAATAGGTTTTAAAAAACCAGTTCCATGAAAAGAAAAGCATCCCCAGAACATTATACTGAATGGATTCTTGACAGTACTTACTGCTAAATTCAAAGAGCTTTCAAAGCTTCTTCGGATTTTAGATTGCTTATCCTTTGAATTTAGCTCAACTTTCGTTACATCGGAGAAGAGAACATTTACTAAAAAAAATCAGGTGAGTCACTTTTATCGAACAGGACTGTACATACTTTGATTCCTCACATTAAATCCAACTTTATGCCACATCATGTCTCAATCAAGAGACCAGGGTAAACACCTATTTTCCTCTATGGTACCTAGAGTTCATGAATTTAAGCACAGTACTAGATTGGCAGCAAGTTCATCATTTTACACATGAAACCACTAGATGTAACTACAAGTTTTATGCTAACAGTTTCTTCTCTCATACTTCTCACTTGTAGAACTCTTCCAGCTTTTTGTTTCCAGTTAACTTTGGTCGTCATAAATTGAAATGCTATGTCAATCGTTATCTTCCGTCTTCTTAATACCTGTTCTTTTATTGTCCTCTCTCCTCTATGTTTTCCTTTTTCTCATATTCTTTCACACTCAGTAACCCCCTGCATCTTAGCACCTTGGTGGGGGTGGAAATGATTAAGCTTAACAGATCACAAATATCAAAAAATGAAATTTTCTAAATTTTAAAAGGTAGGGTCTGTTTGCTACATGGAAAGCTATTGTAAATTGATCCCATACACAAGTCAAAATAAAGGTAAATAAGAGAAAATAATAAAGGATATAATAAAAAATTTACCATTTTAAATGTCAACAGTAACAGGTAGAACAGGTCAGAGGCTGGAAGTAAGAATAAATCAATACATACCAGCTAATATTTCAAAAGGAAATTTCAATAATTTATATAGGCTCATCAATACATCTGGATCAGCAATGACTGAGCATTTGTTAAATAGCCATCATTGGGCAAAGTACATGTTCTCGGTGCTGAGGAAGGCCCATTCAGCCATCTAAAAGGATTTTAAGGACAATATAAAGTTCATCCAGTCCTCCTTCTGTAAGAAGAAAGAGTGGCTTTTAGGTTTTAATGTTATCGGCCTTTGGATTATATATTTGATACATATTACTTCCTGTATTTTGTTGTCTTTCTATTATCTCAGCTCATTCATTTTTTGTTTTTTATCATCCTCAGAGCTCTGATGAGAGAAATTAAAACCAGTTAAACATTTTTTTTTAGTCCTCCTTAATTTACCCATTTTTTTGTTTTTTTTACCTATATTTTTTTTTGTTATTTTCTGTTTGATCTGAATTTAATAGTACTTTTTTTCTTTCTAAAATGTCTGAAAAGAAAAAAAATAAATTATTAATGAAACTGATATTTTAAAACATTACCCTAACCTTTAGGGGTCATCTTGTACAGGTAATTCATGAAACAATTAAAAAGAATTAAATACCAACCTGTATTCAGCTACCTTCCCAGCATGCTTCTTCATTGCTGTTGCTGAGCTCATGCCATAAAAGAGTTTAAATTTCTTGCCATTTCTTTCAATCATTTCTCCCCCGGACTCTGTGTGGCCAGCCAACATACCACCAACCATGACAAAATCAGCTCCAGCACCAAAAGCTTTTGCTACATCTCCTGGACATGTACAGCCACCATCCTAAAAAAGAAAAGAGGAAGGTTTGTCTATTAACAAATACATGTACACTACCAATTTCCAACATCCTTGGTTCTGTTTTGCCAGACCAAGAGAAGCCACGTAATAACAATTCAATAATACACCGCCAACCCAAATATGCATCTCTAATATCCCTACAGCATTATCACCTGTTATGAACTGAACTTAAATTGTTATTAAATATAAATTTATGGCTTCTTAAGGTTGTGTGTATTTTATTCTAGGTGGCATGCATCAGGACTCTGCATCATACCACACAAGCAGGAGAACCCAGGCATGGCTTGTCAGACAATTTTCCCTTACATCTGGCCACCTAAATCCAAGACTGCAATACCCTTGATTATTGTGTGGGGCAGAGTTGAGTGAGAGAACAATAAAACTCCTTGTAACACCAAAGATGAACTGAAGGCAAGGATTATGGCATCATTCACCAACTTAACCTAGGAGACTGTCCAGAATAGATGCAGAGGATTCTGAAGTCATCTGGATGCTGTGGATGAAGACAATGGCAATTTTATTGAATAAATTTAATCTAGTATTTCAAGATATTTGTGTAATTTTGGTAAATATGTTAAAATGAGATGTCAGTGATATTTTCATTTTTGCATAATTTAGACAATTTATCCATTGCACCCTATATATATTTTTACCATTATTTTCAAAAAATAAAATAATTTAAAAAATAATTTCATTCATTTGTGAATAAGTTCAGCAAAGTTTTATTAAAATCTGACAATTACGACATTTTTGCAAGAATTTTCAATGTAATGCATTTTTCACTACAAAAAGACTTTTTCCATACTAATTTATGGTCCCCTGTTGACACTTGAAAAAATAAGATTTCTAAAAAGGAATTAAATATCTTTTTGCGCTTTCTATGTAATAATACAAGGATTTTGACAACAGAACTGTTTTCATTAAGTTTTGAACATTCATTCATTATGTATACTCATTTTTTAGCCAATCTTTGGAGATACCGACTATAAATAGCTATTCTGTTTGAATAGACTCTTAATCTTTAGTCAATGAACAAGGTAGCAGAGAAAAAAAAATTAAAAAATAAATAAACATTCAAAAATGAAGGAAAGAAAAAAGAATACTACCTAGAGAAGAACAACTAGTTAAAGAAGATACTAGCATTGTAATCTGTTTCTTAGTACTTCTAGGTTATAATCTTTGTTTGGTATTGCTAAAATTCTGGAAAAAACACTTAAAAATGCATTTGAAGTAAATTAAATGTCTCCATTTTAGTAAAATTTTGGTTTTATTTGAAAGATGATAGCTTGAATTTTATAGGTCAAGCAGTAGCTTTCAACCACCTCACAAATTATATACAGAGGACCAAAACTACCAAATTAGAAAATCTGGTTTCCTTTTTGCTTAAAAATATAATTATTTTTAAACTTATATGATCAATATATGCAGGTCAATCACAGCCTACTTTATTTATTCAATAGCATTCAAGTGGAGTGTGTTTTTCTAATATTACTATAAACATATAAGAAATTTAACCAAAGAAAGTGCTAGATGTTAGGATAAAAACGTATAAATATTAGTTAACACTGAAAGGACAGATCTTTTTTGTGGGGAAAAGGGGATTAATATATACATGTCCATTCTTCCCCTAAAGAAAGAAATAGTGAAGATTATATATATATTAAGTTACTCTCAGTCATTTTCCTCATAGCAGTCACAGTATATTTAGAGATAAAAAAATTAATTTATAATCAAGTGAGGTAATTATTGAATTGTTCCCTATTTGATCTTCTGTAGAAAAAATAATCTAAACAAGTGTATAAAAAAAATTCTTTTAAAATATTTCTGATGCAAAAATGACATTTTACTTAGCATTTTTCCATTCACAAACATTTTTATATAATAAAAAATTCTTGTCATCAGCAACTAGAAGAAATTCAAAATTATACAGAAAAATTACAAGTAAATTTTAAGAAAAGATATATATTCATTTTTTCCCCTGTTAATTCTGAAAGATTTAAATAAAATGTTTTGATATAATCTAATTTTTTTTTTTACTTTTCTTTACAAAAATATAAAAAGTCAACATTCAGTATAAAATTGATTTGTTAATGAATAAAGGCTGAAAATTACATTAAAATCAGATAATTTCCTAAATTTTGGTATTTAAAAAAAAAAAAAAAAAAAAAAAAAAGGAAACAAAAGCATGTATATTAGCAGTATCTACATTTTACACTTGGAATGGCTTGCTTTAGAATTGTGAATCACATCAACTTAATTTGTATTTACTGAGTACTTAGAAGAAAAAGAAAACTTTTCAGCTAAGCAAAAGTTCTGGAGTTGGTTTCTAAGTTATAGTGCAGGAAAAACAATACTACAAGTTTTCTTATTGTATTCTATTGATATTTAACCCATAGCTAAGGGGGAGAAATGGATTCATGCTTTTTCTAAAAAGGTAATTGTGAAAATGTGAATGCAATACAGTAGATGGGAATTTTAATTGCTTGCTACACCTATACTAATAACCCTTATGCTACCTGCAGAATTATGGCACTGTGGGTCTCCCATATACCCAGCAGAACACATGTCAAGTGATCCCTAAATGATGCTATCAGAGTCATAAATTCTTTTTTTTGTTATTTTTTTAATAGTTGAAAGATAAAGTCAGCAGTCTCATGTTCAAAGTCAGCCCACTTGACCAAAGGGGAAGAAAATAACAAATAAATAAAAATATGGGATCAAGTAACACTTCATTGGAAGCCAGATGCTCTATAAGTAGAGTCCTGGTTAGGATGGAAGAAAGACAAGCCATCCATCCATCCAACCAGTCATGTTGGTAGCAGTTGCTTGGCAGAAATAAAAAAACAAAAGGAACCTACCTACCTCCTATCAGCCAAAGTACTAAGTCTGACTTGGAACTCCATTGAAATAAACACTAACTTATTGAAAACCAGATTCAGGTTTTCATTTCTTGCTGAAAAAACACGGTCTTAAATCATAAGGAGGAATAAAATAAAAATGATGTCAGTACATAATTCAGCAATACAGATTTCAAAAACCCTTTTTAACCATATTGTCTGGACATATTGTTTTATTCTGTGGGATCTTTAAAAAGAAACAAAAATAATAAATAAATAAAAATACATTTCCAAATTCCCAAGTCTAAAAACACATATAAAAAAATAGACTTGCTATCACTTGGACATAACAGTGAGCATTTCATGTGACCCTCTACCTAGAGTGGCTCCTGGGCTTTATACAGGGTAAACCATACTGTATATATATATATATATATATATATATATATATATATATATAAAAAAAAAAAAAAACTATTGGTCAATTACTCTGTTAGTAGTGTTTGTTATCTGACTGCTAACCTGTTTCACCTATTCTTGCAACTTGTAGAAATTTGCCTTCCCTCTCCTTTAAGGTGGCATTTTCAGAGGTTTCACTTATCCTAATTCCAAGACTAATTTTTGTTAACCTTCTCTATTTGCCTTATATATATATGTTTTAACCTCAATTTATAAGTGTCTGTTAAAAACTGATTCACTGATGCTCTTTGAAAATATTCCAAGAGAAGACTGCTGTAACATCCACACTATTTTGGACAACATTCCAGCCAAGATGACTCCATGGTTCTTGTGGAACTGTCTATTTGGCTGTACATGTAACAAATGCATAATTTTTTTTTTATCAACTCATAAGTAATTGTATTCAAATTTGAAGCAATCTACTATTGACATCAGTGTAGATTAAGCAAGTCAAAAAAGAAAATTCAAACAAAGAATTACTAAATACATTATTTTATACTATGTTCAAGAATTCTAATTGACTTACACAGAAATCTTTACTATTTATTAGACCCAAGCATAAAAAAATTAAACTTCAGTCACTTTCCCACTGCCATAATGTAGCTTCTATGCTTTTTCTATAAATACTTTCATGGTAATTGATCTAATAAACATTCCTCTATGGTAGCTAAACTTTATACATTTAAGTACAGTTAATGAAAAAAGAAGGCTTAGAAAATCTGATAATCACAGGACATACTGAAGGCAAGAAGGAGTGACAGAGAAAAACACATAACATATTTAGTGAGCCTGAGTAAATAGCAGAACCAGGTTTAGGAAAAATAAAAAAGACAAAATTTATTAAGAGCTATAAAAAAAGGACAGGAAATTGTGAAGAGCCATGATTGCATGCATCCTGAGGGGGACATAAAGAACACTAGATTGGTAGCAAGATCTCATCATTTTATAGTTGAAATGGCTAGATGTTAACGTTAATTTTTTGGTAACAGTTTCTTCTCTCACACTCCTTGCTTATGGAACTATCTTCCAGCTTCTTGATTTCTGGGCAATGTTAAATTTTGTCTTAATTCATCTTTTATTGTTCTCCATCATTAACAGTGGGGTTTTTTTTTACATTCTCCACTAGCACTCAGTAACCAGTTGCAATTTAGTGGCTTTATTGCCATGCTTGGGATGAAATGATTAAAAAAAAAAAAAAAAAAAAAGTACTGTTCAAATTCTAGGATGCTTATATAATAAAGAAGAAAAAAAATCAGACACACACACACATTATATAATTATTTTTTATAAAAAAATTATAACATAAGTATGTTATAAAATCACTACAAAAATAGCCATACTTATGTTATAATTTTTTTATAAAAAATAATTATATCTGCTCTACTTTGTATTGAGCACTCTTTTAAGAATAGTAATTGTTGGTTATTGGAATTCATTCCATATATACCAATTATATACTTGGAGATTATATATCTTTGCCCTATCAACTACTATGAACAATCAAGATGCCTTCTTGAGGTAAAATCTTCCACTGGCTGCTTTCAGTAGGAAAATAACATTCTTTTAGCAGATTTAAGTCAGTTGACCCAATTCTCTGACTGACCTAAGAAATTGTATGACCCAATTGTCTGTTTGACCTATTTTACCAAGTAGTTTTTAGGTAAGCATTCAAGTTTTAGAGTTTAAACA